TTATCACCTCATTAAAAGCTCCAATGTGATGGTAGCCAACAACAGGACAAAAAATAAACAGAAAAGACGTATGGGACTGGTCAGTCATACCAGGGAACATACTTTACCCTGCAATGAGGGACATTCAGAATTATTCCAATCAAACTACTCCTCATCAGCAAAATGTAAGGCAGCCTACCCTCTAGTATTCATTCCCAATTCAGAAGTGGAAAAAAACCTGGAGTATCTTAAGTGCTGCTGGCATCTGCATACAGAGGAGGTGATTTCACAATGTAATACATTCACTCTGTCATTATTCACATTATTGCCAAGTAAGAGAATTATCTTGACCATCTCTTCCACCAACCATCACCACTTCAGGTACATCTAGAATAAGACTGAGCTGGCTTGTTTAAGTGAGAGCAGGATGAGGATCCTTATAGAGGATCAGAGTCAAGTCTGCTGATACAGCTTTAATTCTGAACTGCTTTCTGTGCATCCACACAAGGAGATGCATGATCTAATTATTTAAGCAAAGTCAGGGATAACTTGGCTCCCTGCTTTTCTAAAGGATAAGAATTAGACTCTGATGACTAATTCCTTTTTCCACTTCATATTTGTTTACTTATTTTTCCAGGCCACATAAACAGACATTTTGCTGAAGCAGGAGAAAAGTATCTAACAGGCAATATCTTGTGACTCAGACAACTAGGACATGGAGAAATGATTGGTTTGGTTGGTGAAGTTAGTTAAGAGCAGTCTTGGAAATTATAAGCAGTAAAAGACCAATACATGTCTCTCAAATTCCTGGCAAGCTTTCCATGATGACTTCTGGTCTAAAATAAGCTATATCTTATTCACACAGCAGAGGCAGAAAAGTTTGGAAAATTATCAATTCCTCAGTTTAGCCTTAAGCAATATAATTATATTTGGAAGAAATACACTTGAATTAAAATAAAGTGTATTGCTGATCTACAAAGACTAGAACAATTATGCCAACTGGAAAAATAATTTCAAAGAAGGTACTAATACCATTAACTACTTGGACAGAGAGATGCCTCATTAGTTCTGTAACAGATACCTCCAACCTTTGCCCTAGCTGTTAACACAAAGGATAACCAACAAGTTTTAAGAAAGCTTTGAGCAACACCTCTAACAGCTTTTTCTTTTTTAAATACTTACACTGGAAGACAGATTGAATCAAAACCTAAAAAGAAATTAAGTTCCAAAAGAAGAACAGTCATATTACTGCAAGTTTTACCCCCCATCTATCTGAATTTCCAGTACACTTATTTGGGCACACTGATTTCTTATGCCTAGTCGCTCTTGCTTAGCAAAAACGGTCTTATCTCTGTCTTTGGATGGTTGAAGCAGAGCCTTTACAGGAAAGATTAACTCAGTTATCTTTTCTTTAAACTTCCTATAAAAGCAAACAACCATTTTATGTGACAGTCCACCTTGGATTTCTGTTACTCTGAGCAACTGAAAGAGAACGTGCCTACCCAGAAGAGATAAGGCATATGGACATGCCAGTCCAGGGATGCCTTGATCCGAGCATGCCACACTAGATCTGTGAATGTACACAGGACATGGTATTTCTGAGCTGAAAAGTCAACCTTTTCATTATAATACAAAGTGTCTCCAAGAGAGACATGACATACTGCCAGCGTGGGACTGAAATCACAGGAAAATCGTTAAAAAGGATTGCATTGCTGGGTTTCATAAGTCAAAGATAGTCTCAAGACCAAGGGACAGACTGTATATGTTAACTGAGTAGAAAAAAAACTTTGTTTGAAAACCAGTGATAGAAAGGAATGGAATCTATTGCAAACTCATTTGACTAAATAGATCTGCTTTGCAGGGGCTGCTGCTCCAGAAATTGTAAGACAAAATAAAACCCGTTTCACTACAGCACATCTCAGATCTAGATTTGCACAGAGAAGACAACCTCAGGATAAAGTTACATATATGCCTTTAGATTATTTAACATCTAACCATATGCTAATGGAGAAGATACTATTCATGCCTCCTCCTCCACAATATGCAGAATACTCCCTTCCTCCCATTTCACCAGTGTTCGCCAAAAACTGCACCAAGCTGATTCAACACATCCTGGAATGTGCTAAAATGAACAACTTTCTGTGGGATTAGCAAATTGAATTAACTCAGTGAAGGGTTAAACAAGTGCCAAAGCAATGGGACTTCACCCTAAGATATTGAGATTGGTGGTGTGCCTCTCCTCCACCATACAAGTATGAAAATACAGCGCAGGTAGAAAGCAGCTGGGGATCCTAGACAACGGGAATTGAAATTGTGTAAGTAACTAAGTAGGAAATCTCAGGCATTGTAATAGACATCAATGATCTTCCCATCATTTTGATGCATGCGCCGTCTAAACATACTGGGGTCCTATGCACTCAATTACCCTCTCTCCCTTCCCTTTGACATTTCTTCACTTGTCACACAGTATCTATCCTCTGAGCTTTACCATCCCCAAATCCTTATTGTCTTTCCTTAGCATTTCTTCTTCACCACCTAAATTTATAATCACAATAACAGCAGCATTAATGTGATACTCATTGCTATTGCAATAGAATCACAGAATCATTAAGGTTGGAAAGACTTCTAAGTTCATCAACCTAAACCTAACGCCACCATGCCCACTAAACCATGTCCTGAAGTGTCACATCCACACACTTCTTGAACACCTCCAGGGATGGTGACTTCACCAGCCCCCTGGGCAGCCTGTTCCAGTGTTTGACTACTCTTTCAGTGAAAAAAAAAAATCCTACTATCTAATCTAACCTTCCCCTAGCACAACTTGAGGCCATTTCCTCTCATCCTATCACTTGTTACTCGGGAGAAGAAAGCAACACCCACCTCACTACAACCTCCTTTCAGGTAGTTGTAGAGAGCTATAAGGTCTCCCGACAGTCTCCAAACTAAACAGCTCTTCCTCAGCCGCTCCTCATATAAATTGTTCTCCAGACCCATCACCAGCTTCATTGCGCTTCTGTGGACACACGCCAGTGCCTCAATATCCTTCTCGTAGTGAGGGGCCCAAAACTGAACTCAGTATTAAAGGTACGGCCGTACCAGTACCAGTACAGGGTCTCCCCTATCCCTGCTGGCCACACTATTTCTGAGACAGGCCAGGACACCATTGGCCTCCTTGGCCATCTGGGCACACTGCTGCCAATAATCACTTACTGGCACACATAACACCCTTTTCCCCTTTCTTTTGCCACTTATTTACACTACCCAGACACCAGCAATCACGACACGTCTATGCAATGACTCAGATAACAGGGTGCTGCAGTAACTACCACAAACAGTCTTCTGATTGACCTGAGATAGTCAATATACAACAGCTTTTCCTCCACATTAAAATGTCTCCTAAACCAGACAACAACCCACAACACCATAACCCCTCTCACAACTTTCTTCCTTCCGATGTTCAAAGCTGTGTGTAATTCCAGTTAACCTCTTCGATGGATTGGAAAATAAACACACCACTTTTTTTCAAGATACTCCATTTCAGCACCAAAAAAAGCAGTAAACTAGTTACCAAAAGAAAACCAATTAGAAAGCAACTTGGCGTGAATCAGATCTACTGCAGATAGTGAGCCTTCCCTTTGTACTCCTTGCTTTTGCAGGAGTCGGTATGTATTTACTTGTGGCAGGAAGAGTCCGAGCTAACACCCAATGTCCAAGTAGCTACACAAGCATGTGGGCAGAAGCGTAAGAACAACACTGAGGTGATGATGAATAATGCACTCCTGAATGTCAAGGTACAGTGGGATTTTTATCATTTCATAACATTCCAGCTTCTTTCCCACACTGCAGCAAAATAAAATAAAATAAAATAAAAAGTGGAACCAAAGTACTATTGTTATTAGCGTGCAAATAAAATGAAGTTATTTAAATTCACCCATCTGTTCTGGCCAACCATTTATGAGTAATTCTCACCATTTCAGTCACCTGAAAAAAAGACAGTGAGTTCTAGGCACAAACACTTTCTAAGCAGTTAATCAGGATCACAGATGATTAAGCCACACAGTGTTTCATTCTTTCAGTGAGCTTTGTTTCTCTCCTGGCTTCCTGGCTGCATTTTGTTTCTACCATTTCTCTTCTGTTTCTGGCAGATGAAGTGGAGGTGGAGAAGAAAAGGGAGGAAAGTTCTTGGGTAGCATAACGATTACAGTAATTTTCAATCCTTCAGCAAGGAAGAACCTGTTCAGGGAACAGATGACCTAATGTTGCTACCCATTCCTCTACCTCACTTAATTTTAATTTTTTTTTTAATGTACATTTACAGGTGCTTGCAGTTAGAAAGTTATACAACACAGGGACAAAGTTTAGTACATTTATCTCCCTTCTGCCCCCAAATTCACAGGGAATATACCTCCCACCCGTACATTTCCTCCACCTTTTTTTGTTGCTGTAGGCAGTTTAAAACAGAAAACGGCAATTTAGAGAGATCCTTGATCACGCACCTACAGGTCACTGACACACTGTTCACGTCCAAGCCTGATAAGAATGTAGATGCCACTCATCAAAAGGACAGTTATGCCATGGATAACAAGTCAATCCAACTCCCTAAATTAAACAACAGTATTATCACAGTGACAAACTTATTTTCACAGCGTTCTTGGTATTCTGCCTGATTACCTGCCCTTGCTCAAAACAAAGGGAGAACTGTCCTCACATGGCTCTACTTACGTTTCCTTTCAGTGTTCTGAAATAAGAGCTGTTTAAGATCTTGCATTTTGTGTGCAATTGGAAAGGTCACCAAGATTCAGTGGCAAAACGAATCTGTACAGTTGGTTTTTTTTAATAAAGAGAAAGGGAAAGATGGGACACAGGGAATCAGGGAAAGGAAAGTTTATTGCATCTTCATTTTTAAATTAGAAAAAGTCTCAGAGAAGTTATGGGAAAAGTATAATTAGTGAAAGAACAACACTAAGAGATTTCTCACATGAGCACTAAAAAACGCAAAAAGGAAAGTGATGACTACTTACATATAATATGTAGGATATAATCCTTCAAAGTACCAGCAATGCTTTTTGGCCTCCGTACACTACAAAGAAAGAAGAATATGGTGTTAATATTGACATAGGACAACATACAATTATAAACACAACCATGGATTATTTATAAATACTGTGACTTTGAGCAATTAGGAAAGGTTTATATTACCAAAGACTTCCCGATCCTGATACACACAGCAGCTGGGAGGACAGTTCATGTGAATGGCAGTGTGCCCTGCCAGGGTGCAGATCCCTCAGGCAGGGCTTTGTCTGTGGAGCCCCAGAGCTTCCCATGATTCACAAACAAAGTCACTATAGTGGCTATAGTCACTTAAGAGACCTCCAAGGCATAACCAGTTTGATGACACAATGACTACACAGTAAATTCAATAATTGCAGGGAATTATTAATCTTCCTGGAAGTCTCTGGTGTGCAGAGCCAGGCTTGGAAAGGAGCAGAACAGAGAACCCATCCATCCCATCTCCTCTTCCTACAGCTTGGAAACATCTCAAGTGTTCATTAAAGTACCAGGGAAGGGAAACTGCTTTCTGCAGCCCAGGGGTATTGTTCTGTTTTGCAGATTGCCAGAATATCCTTGTTAAAGGATGGCGACAGGCATTTTCTCAGCATGAGTGTGCAGGCAACGTGGGAAGCACACATTGTTACGGGCACTGCCAGAATACAGACAGCAGCTCAGAACAATAGCGGTGCTTAAAAAAGAAAACCAGATGTCAAGCCCAAACTCTTGATACAACGCACAAAATATTTCTACATATCCCGCTGACATTACTAGCATAAAATGCTGTCTTCATTGCAGACGTAGCTCCAGGAGCTCCACCGCAAGCTGCATTATCTGATCACATATGGCCAGGGTGCTGTGGGACACTGTCTGCAAAGCAGCAAGGAATGTCTTGCTGGGGTTTTAGCAACAATTCCCTCTGGTGCTCACACCTGACACCCGATCTCAGAGAGCACTCAGCACACCGGCAGTGCTTGGATCATCCTTCACGTTCACTTGGCAGCTCACCTTTAAATAATAGCTCACATAAGTTTATTAGCCTCCCTAAATCCCAGAATACTAAATGAATCCAGTTAAGACAAAGACAAAGTGGTTTTAGAACCCTGACTCTTACTCCTCATGAATAAGACTGCAAGCTCTTTAATGAGCATCTGATGAGCTAAATCACAGACAGATCAATTACAGCCCATGAAGACAAACTGTTATGGATTAAATTGTTAAGTGTGGTACAGGAGATGGGGGAGGAGGAGAAGATGCTTTTGATGCGTGGGATCAGGCCTTGCCACTAATGCAACAGGCTCACAGCAGTCCTCAAGATGCACAAGCTTTAGCTTTTTCCTCAGGATAAACACAGTGGAGGCCTTGTTCCCCTCTCAAATTGATGCCACGGTCCAGGCAGTATATGCAGGAGACCTCTGTAGCTGCTGCTAGAGCAAATGGCGTTCAAAGACTCATCTCTGCATTTGCCCTGTTCCCCCTTTTTGCCCCTCCTTCAAAGCTTCCAACTTCTTAACCCTTCCTTCTGAATATTTTCATCAGCTAGCTGTTTCCTCTTACTCTAAAATCAGAAATACACCAAGTTTCTCTCTGTAACACCCTGCAAACATATATGCATTGTAAACTCAGCAGGTCTGCTGCCAAGTCAGTGAAAAATACTTTTGGCTCTTCACGTGTGAAGGCTGCAGATCAGCAGGCCATAGCTAAAACCCCAGTGCCTGCAGGTCAACCCCGTGGGAAGCCTCATTTCAGAGTCTAGCTTGGGGAGTACACTGTTAAAATGGTTTTCCTTCCTGCTTCTCAGCCAATATGAGTCACCATTTACCTCAACAGCCTCAAAGCCTTCGTCAGTCTCGAATACTTTAATTGATGTTTTCCCAGCAATGTTTCTGAGCACGTGGAGCCTGCATACCCTTTACAAGTGTAAAGGAGACACTTATATTCACCACTCATTCTGCTCACCCTCCTCCCTGTATTTTAATCCACTTTACAAGTTCTAAAATGAGTTGGGAAGATTCCTCCTTCGCACATCTCCCAAGTTGTAAGATTTCTGCCTCTTAACAATTCTCTGTTTCAGACAGCCAATATGCTTACTGCTGTCACAAGAAAGGCTCCAGCCTAGGAAAGTTTTGCAAGTAACAGTTCCTTCTAGCTTATAGGCACTAAAAATCCTTCGGTGCCCAGACTTTGCTTTTATATGGACCCTGGAACAGCAGGTACCACTCCCAGCTCTACCTTTTTTTTTTATATCACAGCACTATGAACACTGCATGGCAGTTCAGCTCTCCTACATGGGAATCAGGCAAGCAAGCGAGCAGACCTCAAATGTCAGCAGCACAGCCGAATCCAATATACATGACACGTCAAATAGATTTACACACACAGAGTGAACTGCTGTGGTCTCTGCTCAGTTCAAACACCCACCAATCTCCATGGCAACTTTATGCCCGTAAATCCCGACATGAAGCAGACAGCTACTAACCACGGTCCCTACTGCTGGTGCACAGACCTTGCAGGAGTTCACTGCTAAGAATAAGATGAAAATGTCATCGCCTCTAAGGATTTGAGCCTCTTGAGTGCTAACTCAGGTATCAGAGAGATGAACACAACAGTCAGGCCACAGCTCAGTTCTTCCCATCGCACGCACATTCTCTGAAGCAGGCTACGATCATCTGCCTCTTGCCAAGATCCAAGTTATTCTTCCAAGTAGTACTGGCCTCTTAGTTAAGCTGGTGGAAAGCCAGACAAGCACAAGAGGGTATGTACACCAGCAGCATCAGGCTCTCATCCTCACAGAGCCTTTGGAGGATGATGTCCTTGTAGTTGTTCGAGACTATTAAACCCTCAAGAAACCACAGCTAGCAGCAACTCACCGCAGTCCACACAACAGACACAAAGGGAAGATTACTCATGTTACCGCGATACAAAAGGACCTCAGACAGCAAGATTAGTGCCCGTTCCACTAGCTCTGGTACAAAGACAGGCTATATCTCAGTTTCTAACAAGCATTTGTCCATTATCTTTAAAAAGCTATTTAACCATTCACTAATAGTAAAAAAAGTGTTTATAGTTTTTAAACTAAGCTTAGGTACAGCCCTGCTAATGCTGTCAACTTTTCTAGGAGAAGGACTCTGAACATTTTGCTTATAAAATTCCTCCTTCTATGTCCTTTAACAATTTGGCACGGCTATAAAATATAAATACAAGAGTATGTTCATTTTTAAAATAAATGATGGAGGTTTAATTGGGTGTGCATATGTAATCTTTAGAGAATTAATGGTATGTGAATTAGCCAGATGCTTGAATTCATTCCGTAAGATTGCGTATTTGGAAAGAGAAAAAACACAAGACTTGGTTTTTTGTTTGTTTTAAAATAAATTAGCATCTGTCTTGTAGCCTGTTTTCTTTGACAGACTGCAGCAACGCGAACTGCAAGCCATCCTTTTCTGTGGCCTCTAAATTTATTCAGATTTCCTTTAAGAAAGGAAACGAGCTTCCTGCCCCAGATTGAAATTGCAAATGCTACTGCTGCTAGTAAGAACAATGAAAAAGAAGTTACTAAAGCATTAACCAAAGACTGGTTTTGATCACACCATAAAATACAGAATGCAAGTACATATGTATGCACATGGTGTGGGGGAAGACAGAGCAGTCAGCCTGCTCACTGAATGTCGAATGGTATTCTACAGATCATTAGTTATGGTCTGCAGGATTTGCAGAAATACTATCTCCAGCAGCAATATCCTCCACATTGCACATCATTATCTTTCAGTCCACAGGATAAGAAGAAGATAACAGATCTGATCAATTAATTACTCTTTGTAATCAAGGGAGCAGTGAATTCAAACCCAGTGGTTTTATTGGAGATTTGGGAAAATAATTAAAAAAAATAAAAACAATTATAGCCTCATCTGCAGATAGTAAATACTTTCAAATATGAGCACAGTCCATTTTTGTTACAAGTACCAACGAAAAAAGCAGCCTGATGCAGACGAGTGTGTTTGTGGAGGGCAGGGGGAGGACAATTGCTATCTGTAAGCTGAAGGGACATTCAACGCAAGTTTGTGACATCTGCTCAAAGCCAGATTTTGTAGGAGGCACAGGTCTGCTATCGATCACAAAGTCAATGAAAACCTACCAGTTATCAGCAACTGAGGGTGCAGCTCTTTCTTTTTAACCAGACAAAAAGCTAGATGCTACATGAAATTTCTATTACATATTACAAAGATCCAAACAGGCAGATTCAGAAGGGGAAAAAAAGCAGGTATTTAACAGAGTGATCTGCGATAACATGATCTAGCCATGATTAGCCATACTAATAATGGCTCCTAGGATTCTGGACTGACCCACTTAGTGGCTGTTACCTCCTATTCAGGTGGGTACATGCTACACATTAGTAGGGGGCAAGTTGATACAAATGTCATTCTTGTGGCTACAGCCTCTGAGGCTCTGTTAGTCTTAATTCACAGAAGACCAGGAAGGAAGAGTTGAAAGTACATGGAACAAGACCTTATAATTTCTGAGCATCACAATCCTATTCCAACAAACACCCAGAACTCTATTTCACACAGCCAGATCAAACTAGTAATTGAGAAAATCAGAAGGATAATACCATTCTGCCCACGTGGCTCCACAGCATCTGAGAAACAAAACTGGCTATGCCTGCTGCCTCTGTTACAGAAAGGCTGTGGCGAAATTCACCTGCAAAAACCTCTTCCAGTTTTTTTTGGTCGCTGCACCCAGCAAGTACTTGATGGAGCCCAGACAAAAGGATGGGACAGTCTACAGTGCAACTCCAGACTAAATAATCAGTTTCAGAAGGCACATTATTGACTAGGAATCACAATGTTTTATAAGATCTGACCTTTAAAATTGTATCAGTTTTCAGAACATTATCCATTTCAGTGCCTAGACAAGAGCTGAAAGCATTATGAGATACAAGCCGCTCATTAGATATGGTGCACTGAAATCAAGACTTCTGCATGCTGCAAGTTTGAAAGATTGGATTTGCAGAGACAAGAATATGTGTATACT